TTAATATCGCGTTCAATGAAATACGATTGTACGGGTAATTGATTTTATATAACTTAACTGTCATTATAAAACTTATTTTCAACTGGTAACTAAAAGCTATCATAGCGGAATACAAATAAAAAAACTGGTAACAGCAAACCAAATATAAAGGAAACTTCACGCTTTGATAACCACATTTTCGCCCTCAGCATTTCACCCTATCATATATCAGGACGCCCACGGATAATCCTCCCCTCTCTTTGCGAAGCACTTTTCATTTGACAGATTGCGCTAAATAACTGAAGGCTTTTTTATTTAATTTAAGGGTAATAGAGACTATGATTGAGCTCAAGTATTTGTGTTATCCGAGTAGTTCTTATTGGATGTTCTGTTGACAAAACCAGCTGAGCGGTTTGCTTATTAAATGTTCTACTCTTCTCTGTAGACCCTTTCATTATTTTTATATTATTAAATACTTATAAGCTTACTAGAACACTTCAACTCCCATTTTAGATCGCTTATCAAATATTTTAATTATTTTAGCTCAATACAATTTTCTAAGTGTGTACTTATAAATGTGCAGCAATGGCTGATAAACACTCTTTAAAGGTTTTATAACGATATATGTACATATTTTTCTTTATGTAGCGAACCTTGGGTATGTATTACCGAGTTCTTATTCCCTTTGTCCTTGTTACAATCACATAATAATTATTTCAATATATATTTATTGATATGGTCTTAATTTTAATCCATTAGACGGTAACTATAGTATAATTATCACAACCGACAGTAGTTCTTTATTACTAGGTAATAAGATCCATATTATTATACACATGAAGCCCTTTTGTTGGTTGTCGCTTATCTTGATCTACAACAAAATCACAGATATATAAATATCAACGTTCCAGTAATAATACACTGTTGTTACTAATTATATGTACAGTATATACTATAGCGTCATACATTCTATTCGATGTATTGCAGGCCATTACAATAATACCTATGTACTAGGTAGTTAGTGTACGAACACTTAGTGAGAACGAAGCTATGGACTGTAATTAGCAACGTCCATGCAGTGATTAGCTAGTTAAAAGAGTTTTTATTAATGTTTCTGAACAATACAATATGTAAGTAAATATCACTCTTACTTACTCGGCCGTACTGAATATTTTATTTGATTCGAGGCAAGAAACAATCAATAATTTTAATCTAAAACTAACGACGCGATACTAAAAACGACATGACAACTTTAATTACTTTTTATCAAATTGTTCAATAATTAACTAATATACACGGCTAGCAATATATGTTCGCGCATTTGAGATAGTCCAAAACAAATATGGCAGGCGGTCGCTTTGTAATCGTAGAGGTGCGAAAGCTCCGCGTCGTTGGACTCCTACTCAAATTACATTATACCTGACACTATGTCCGATTATCGTTCACTTGCTCTTTTGATATGTGCTTGTTTCATATACGATTCGATTGTTTTTATGAGTTTTTCATAATTTTTTGGAGATCATTTTCAAAGTATTCTAAATCTTGCTCGAACAAAGCGAACAATCGTAAGTAATTAATGTGAATTAAAGATATAAATAAAATCTATATTTTGGTCATGACATGTTTGGATTCTAAGTAATTAGTTGCTTTTAATAATAAGTAATCCATAAAAGTCTGAAAGGAACAACTCGAACGTTTCTGGAGGAGTTTTTGTTTAAAGAAAACAACTTGATGTCCTCAAATGGAGCATTAGTGATTTGAGAGGAGCCCGTATTAACTTATGCTATTATTTCAAAGATCTCTGCTCCAATATTTGATCAAGTCTCTGAGCGTCGAGTCTTTCATCTTGCCGACCAAAGTTTGTTTGATATAACGGGTTGAGTGGAGTCAAAAGGCCGAACAATACTTTTTTATTTATCTTTTAACTTATCTCAATAAAACCTCTTTCAGGGATGAAAAGTTTTGATTTATCTGAACAAATATAAGTTGTTGTCTTACATATTTACTGACGGACAGAATATAAACAAATATTGTACTAAGGTATGACATATATACTTTACATACCCAGCTTGGAAGAATGTTGACTAAATTTAGAAAAATATTTTTTTTAATTATATTTTCGACTTGGTGTCAAAATTATATACACCTATATTTTTATTGCACAGAAAAATTTTCTTTCCTAATCATCAAGGAATATCAGAGCGAAAACCCATAACTCCAGTAGATATCACACTTTTTTGAAACGTTCTGATTTAAATTTAAATTGATAAGTCTATTATTTTTAAGTTTCTGTACCTCAAGCGACAGAAACGAAAACTTTTTCATTGTTATAATTTTTTTCCCCGATTACCCACCTACTGTTTCTTAAGCGCATGCCGAACGAACATCTATTGCTCCTCAGAGAAGTAGAAATAAATTTTATTGACTCACGCTAATGAAACAATATGCCTGTCTGAACTGCTTTTTTGCATATTTCAACTTGCTCTAAAACTTCAGATTATATATTTTAAATACTTCCCGATTTTAAATACTTCCGATATACATTTTAAGAAAGAACATTTTAAACGCTCAATTTTGTATTATCGTTTGCACTTGCAACAATATATAACACTTTTTCAAGTTTTCTTATTTTATTAAAAGACTGTATGCTATTAAATGGGCACCCTTCAACTTTTTGTCGTTACGGACCCATTAGATTATAAGTCAAACTCACATTTTTCCTGTTTTGTTTATAGATTTGCGGTGTAATCGATATAATACCCTCTTAATTAAAATTCGTGGTGAACACGCGTGTTAGCTTTTTATATAATGAGATTATAACTCATAATAACAATAAACCTGACCATAACTAAAACACACAAACACTAAATTATGTCAAATTACTACAAAATAAGGTGTAAATGATAAAAATATGACAATAATTTTAATAAATTGTACCATTATAAATATACTGGGACTTTGCTTATCTTGATGTGTCTGGTAAAATAATGGAATTTTTATGTTAATTTTATTGTTTAGTAAAATTTTATTAAGAATTATTGAGTATAATAATTTCAAATAAATACAATGACAAAATGAATAGTGAAGGTGCTGTCAAATTGTTCCGAACTGTCGAAGCGTGATTGTCTCTAATCTTCAACACCATTCGTTTTACAAGATGTTAAGTTTTTTGTAACGAACTTGAAATCCGAACAGGGTACGATTCAAATGTTGCTGTAAACTAAAACTAATAAATTAAAAAGATGAAGGTAACACGATATTGAGATGAGGTGAGAAATAATATCAATGTCTAATGATGTCGAAATGCCGACAAAAGGAAACATTCATTAATTATTATCCGGACCGATACACGATATTTGTATATCTTAACATTACAACATTTAAATGTATATGATAAATTGATAAGTTTTTAATTATCAGAAGTTCTCGTGTGTTAAATAAATGATACAGAAACTATTATATTTTAAATATTAATATGATCGGTGATAATTAAAAATTCTTTGTTTTATATATCAAGTGTTGTACAGCCGTTGGCTTTTAAAACCTATTAAGTCATCGGAAAGAAAAGATAGTGATCAGTAAACTTGTTGTGCGTAGAGGTGACGTTAGATTTAATCTTACTTGCCCTAGAAATTGTATTAATTTGCATAATTAATATAATCATATGAGAAAGCTATTTTAAATCCAAAATATTTTAATCGTATTATATTATTTTTTTATCTAACTACTTAAAATGCGCTCCGCATACAATTAAGTGATATAGGCTCGGCGCTTTAATTGAATAACAATGTGATACTGTAATTTTGTAGGATTTTATTTTATGATAAAATACTGTAGAGATGGAACTTCAATTCAATAGTCAATAAAACTCAGCAAAGCTAGTGTAATGCTTGAATTATTGTATGTTAAATAATAGTAAATTTTACATATAATAAAAGTTCAAGAAGAAAGGTGTGAAAAACTAATTCATTGCGTGAATGTCTTTATAAAGACAGCATTTGATTAATGGGATTACTCTCACCCACACATTACGTAAAACAGTTAGATGCCATACAACGCATATCCAGCCGCGTGACATAATTGCATACGATAAACATCTCTATTACAATGCTTTTAGTAGTAAAATTGTTTGTGGATATCGATATTAAATAAAGCTTAGCCCGTGACCGAAACCTGGCAAATCGTTTATTGACATTGTTTTTTTTCCTTTTTCCATGTAATATTCGTAGTTGTAAGTAAATGTCTGTTTTATTATTCCGTGTTTTCACTTTGAGGTTTATATTTACGGGAAAAGAAAAATTTTATTGCGAGGGCGTTTTAGTGCCTACTTATTTTTTATTTCCTTTTTATGTCATTATTCATATGGCTATAGCGAATATAATTAAAGAAAACTTTTTAAAAGAGTAATGGATTGTTTCATCGGGCATATTATTAAAATACCTTTTTATGTCACGTATAAAAACGTATTATCTAAACATCAGTACTGATTTATAATTCAATAAATAATCAGGGAGATGAAGTTCAAAATACATAATACTAACATTGTTGTCACAGTCAAAATAAAGATGACCAACCAATTAAACTCTGATCTTTGAAAATAAACGTGCGGTGATAAATTTGTCAAATAAATTCAATGTAAGAGCCGCGCTTCCCGAACTTTTATGAATACGTTATAGATTTATGATTTCTTGATACATCCAATGAAGTCGACGAAACGAATACTGGTTTTTACGGCCTCATTTATTTACTTTTATAACGTGTTTAATGTTTTCCCAAACTTTCGGGTATTGGACTGATTTTTTTTTAGGCTTCCTAGTTCACTTCAAAAGATCTCCGTTGACAAATATAACTGTTATAGCCGCATTTATGACATGACATTTATTATAGGTAAAAGAAAAAATAATTTCAATTTTTAGAAACAATGAAAACCAGAGACACTTTTCTTTGTGTTTCTGTATATTTAGTTTTAAATGATGTCGTATATAAATATCAAAGATTGTTAATCGTTTCGTATATTACAGTTGCTGGTTGGCAGTAGCGGGGCTGGTAACGGCGGAGCGGCAACCTCGCCGGACGGCGGTTCGAGCTCAGCTCCGCCGCTATCTCCCGGGGGCTCCGCGGTAGCGGGAGGCGCCCTGTCCCCCGGGGCTGGCAGCCACGCCAGCACACCGGCCGCCTCCTGCTGCGACACGCCGAGGCCCATCATCACCGACCCTGTCTCCGGGCAGACCGTCTGCTCGTGCCAGTACGACGCGAGACTGGCACTCACATCTTATCCACGCCTCTCCAGTGCTGCCGTTGGAGTCTACGGAGCTCCATATCCATCCACTGACCAGAACCCTTATCCAAGCATCGGCGTCGATAGCTCCGCTTTCTATTCCCCTTTGGTAAGTGTAGGATTATAATACATGGTTATTTGAGATGAGCACTCTAAGTAATAAAAGAGAAATTTAAAAACATTAACACAGACACGTTTTTACCAAAAGCAACACATAGATTGCAAATTGTTACGAATAGTTCGGTTGTCGTCTGGCTGTATAAGAAGGTTTATCGCTCTCGAGTCAATGTATTCGGTTCTGGCGTAGCGTGCAAGCCTCCAACCGGTCCGTGGGCGCTGGGCCAGAAAACCTCCGACACCTCGCGTCGCACCGCCACCCTGTCACGAAACATTAATACTTAAAATTTTTAATATATTAAAAAGCGAACGCCAGTACTATAGTGAATATTATATTATTTTAGCCAATATGATTTGCTTATAGAAATGTTTAGAAAGTTTGCGGTTATTCACGACGCCGGTTTCGTTACGTGTACCAAGAAAAAAACATTTTTTTTTTGTATATAGGTAATCTAATCCTCGTAAGGGGATGGTAACAGGATACACAATCGTACAAGTCACATTCTGCTACAAAAGGAGATTTTATATTTCTACGATTGTTCGCTTATTGTAAAGCTTTTTTATTTAATTCGAAGTAGCGACGCGAAGCACATGTGAAATCCGCTAAGCCAAGAAAATCCTATCAAACGAAAAGATGAACCGGTTTTTGTCAAGTGTTAAGAGGACGTTTTCGCTTTAATCCGGGAGTGTCGAAACGTTTACGGCGGAAGTTTTCAGAGTCAAGTTCTCCTTTATGATTGAGTTAATTCCCTTTGTTGTTTTATTCGGATTCGCGTCTTGATTGTTTCGTTTCCCTTCAGTATAAGTTTATTCAACTCATTAATTATTATATCACGATAAGGTATAATTGTAGAACCATCCCGAATCGCCGGCAGTGAGATCTCTATCTGTCATTGTATTTAACGAGTGCTGTGAGTACCTACGCTGTGTGACCCTGTTCATGTTAATAACAGGTGTTTAAATGTATGTATATTGTCATTGTATGCCGTGCGCTTATACCTACCTCGTGACAAGCCCGGCCGGTTCCGTGCAAGCGACAATTTAGCGAACAATGACGACGCTACGCCACAAATATACCGAGGCTTGGTTCGTAAGTCTTTGAGGTGCATAATAGATTTGGGACCTCTACACTTAGACATAAGATTGAATTTACAATAAACAAACACAAAAACCAATGCTGTTAAAAATATTCAACTGCCATTTTAGTACACGGTCGACTTAGGTGGCGCCGTCTGTCGTCTCGACTTAGCAACAATACACAGCGCCATCTTTTGTTTATTGTGCTCCTGATATTCAAATAAAATTGCAATAAGATTTATACGTATTGTTCTTATTATTAAATTATATTTAAAAATAAAGAAGGACGGATATTATGATATAAGGTATTATGATTATTTTAGCACTTATCCCACAAGCGATAGTGTAATAGATTAAGAATGATAAAGTTAATATTTAAAAAAATTTAGGAATGATATCATAAAAACAAAACTAATTTAATATGAAGCCGGAAAGCAATGGTTCAAACTAAGATTAGACTCACTGAAGTCAGTCAGTCTTAGTGAATTGTATTAGGGTTGTAACGAGTGTAAATTTCAAAGAATCTAAGAAATCACGATGGATGGTTCTCCACATAATTATGTGAGGTTTACATTTATTTTATTTATAAATACATTAAGTATGATATGATCTACCATTTTTTATAACATTACTGTTTTTTATTGGAAAACTGAAAGGTTATTAAAGTTATATAAAAGGACAAACAAAATTTAAAAAAAGATGTAACAAAAAATGACATTTAATAGAATTATATGTTTGATATAAGTGAGGAGAAAGAACTTATTTATACTCTTATTTTCGCTTTTTTATAGATGACAAAAAAGTAAGGAACTTATTGGTAGATATGAATAAAAACAATATTCTTGAAAGTGCTTTTTTTATTATCATTATTATATTAATTTGAATAAATTCTACTGGCCACTAATAGAATTTCTATAACCATATTTATAAATTCTTCTATACTTCCCCAACCTTCGTAGATCCTTAGGAATCTATAAAGGAATTGAAAATTGCCTTGCACTTTGCCGACGGCAAGTATTTGTTAACACAATTTCTTGATAGAAATTTTTATTATGTAGATTTTGAGCACTTTAGTTGAATGAAAATAATTTCATCTGCAATATTTGTATGCTGCATTTATATAATGAATTCTGGATGATCTATGAAAAGGAGATAAATATTTAATTATTCTTATTAGAAAACGATACTTGTAGGATATTTTTATAGTTGAATGATATCCGTCGCACCGCAAGCCGTTGTGTCTACGGCGATTGTTACTACACTCTTTCATCAACATAGAGTATATTATATTTAGCTACACTGAAAAAAGTACAAACATTTTACTTACTAGCGCAAACAGGATAAGATCAACATTAAAGTTTATTATTTATCTTAAACCGAATGTATTCTTACGATTTTTTTTTTTGATAATCATATGAATAAACTATTAGGTTTTAACAACTGAGGTTGTTAAGTAATAAATGGCAAAAAATTTTGGTAGTATATCAAAAATGGTCTCCTAGATGGTAAATATTTTGACGTGTCTAATGTTTAAAGGGTTAAACGAGGAAAAATATATGGCTGTTTGATAAATTTCAAATAAGCTATATAATATACAAACCAAGATTTATAATATAAAAGCATGAAAATATTTCGTTCAATACAACTTAATTCAGTTGAAGGTAACACAAACACATCCAGAAAGTGAAATCATTAAAAAACCTTTAAAGTCTAAAGTAACTTCAACTCATTTCATTATCCAAATTAAACGTTAGATAAGAAAAACCTACCCCACTTTAAAAACGTACAAAACGCCCGCTTAAATACATTCACTAATCTTAAGTCAAAGAATAAGTTTAGTATTCAATTAAAAGGTAGCAAGAGAGAGGGGAGATGGGCTGGACCGCTGTGGGAGGGAGATGAAAAAGGTTTTGAAGGTGCTAATAGGGTTTTATTAAGCCGTCTCACTGCTCTGGGTGGTCCTTTGTTCATTAATCAGCAGATCATGACCAAATTATCGAATGATTTGCTTTGTTTATTTCACTATTTTAATTTATTGTGTATTATTATGAACCATATTATACATTTAACAATATACGTAAAGTTTTCATGATTGAATATATTACTGCATCACATGTAGAATTCAAAACCTGTCCGATACTCTTGTATCTGTTCTGAACATCTCAGGTTCTAATTAGTGAATGGCGACCTTGCTCATATTAATGGGGGTTTTATTTTATTCTCACTAATTAGCTTAAATAAGGCATGATTGAAATAGATTCAGCAAAATTAGTAACAGTTCATTCAGATAAATGTATTTTAAAGAAACAAGTTGAATTATAAATATTCCTTTAAAATAGACTTTGATATACGTCATTCTTACAATAGGAAATATTAAATGTTTTAATAATTTTTCGTAGTGCATATTTGGTATGATAATATTATCAAAGTTGGCAATTTTAGACTTGAAAGGGAATATAGGTAATGATGTATGGTGTGCGCGTGCCGCCGCAGGAGGGCGTTAGTGCGTGATACATCACAGATTACTCCCTCCCGATTACTTAGCCATTTTATTCCGTGCCGCAGATTTCCGCACTGTAACGCCCTCTATTATCGGGCCCCCGTTAACGCAACTTTGCTTTATAAACTTTCACAACTTAAAAGCTATTACGATCTGTTATTAAGCACTTTGAATAAATAGGTACAACGTCAGTGAAACGGTCAATGACGTGAAATAAGAACTAGTAAATGTTGTGAAAAAGCGTGGAATTCTGGCAAAGATGTGAATAATTGGTGGAGCTAGCTAGCGAAACAGACAAAGCATAAAACAAAAATGACTAATGTTTCTCCCTCACAAGTGGAAAATTGCTGTAATTATACGACTAGCGCACGTAATACATACTTACAGAGGTTGAGATAATATGCCAACTTACATCTGTCATTTTTTGTAATGACACCGTATCTATAAAGCACTGTACATTGAGAGCAAATACATAGCCGCCATTGCTAGCAGTGACGCAATAGTGCTAGAGGGACGTGGGTGGGCTTATCACTATACATCGACGATTTGACATAAATGCGTTAGATTATATGACAACCGATAAAATGTTGCAAGGGACCGCCTCGTCGTGATTGACACTCTGCTTGTTTACATACTGATACGCACACTTTTGTATCCTTATCTACCGGCAACATATAAGCGTTTCGACGTTATCCAAGCCTAAAATACATGGTTCCACAAATAAAATCTGTCAGTTTGCAACGCCTGGTGTGAGTTTAGTAATCATTTACAAACAATGACCGCCCGATGCCCTCGGCTCGACGCGTTAATTGCTCCGCAAATATACTCATCTTCGCACTAAGCGTTTGACTGACTTTAATGACTGAGCAAACAGAGAACGGCCGCGGTCAGTGCGGTTCCTAGGCTAATAAATCTTCGGATTTTCCCCGATTTCCCGACGTCCTGCGGGTGGCGCCCTCACCACTCTTATAAATTACCTACACGTTTTCGCGATAAATCAAACAATAGACTAGCTAAATGCATTTACTATTGTTTGGACACACATCGTACCGCAATTTCTGACGCAGTCCTACATTTGCGGACGCTGCGTTTTTGCAGGAAGTGGCTAACGACTGTCCAAAATAAAACGGATATTGTGGACGATACGCGCCGGCGCACTTGCGATAAATAGATCAGGATAGTCTTGACCGTAGGAAGTTGTCTAATGCGTGCTAATTAAATCTATGATGGACATTTATTCATAAATTTTGTGTCTTTAATTGAAAACGCATGTTATCTTTCAACTTCCGTTCCAGAATATATTCATGCGGGGTTTGAAAGTAAAAAACTCAATAACCACATCAATTTTTATATATCGACGAGATGTATTAATACGAGCTGATGAAATGTTGAAATTTAATTAAATAACTGTTCTG